ATGAGTCAGACTAGAACAGATATAGGTAAAGAGCGTTTGTGCATGTATTCATTTATTTGTTTATATGAATGGGGATAGATAGATATGAGATACTGCTGCATTTTATGATATTTATTTTAATATTTGTCCTGTTTTTAAATACAATGTGCAGGGCATATATACCTTAATATAAATGATAGCTAAACTAGCCATTTGATAGCACTGTAACCACTATATTTAGTGAAACAGATTTTCAAATTATTAATCTTTTTAAACATATTTATTTAGATATTTTAAGTTTCTTATTGTATGGAACAGAGAAAGATATGTAGATACAAGACACAGTAGTTCACAAACCATAACATTTTATTACATGTACAGATTTATATTAGTGAATTTGTTCAAATATGGGATTGGCTCTACTATATGCTGAGTGCATGAGTCAGAGACGAAACCTGTATGTACAGATATACCGGGTCCTGTGAAGATTATGGGTTAGAATTGGCCTTCAGCAACCCATGTTTGTTGTAAGAGGCAACTAATGGGATCGGGTGGTTAGGCTCGCTGACTTGGTTGATACATGTCATCATATCCCAATCATAGATCAATGCTCATGCTGTCAATCACTGGATTGTCTGGTCCAGATTCATTTATTTACAGACCGCCATCATATAGCTGGAATATTGCTGAGTGCGGCGTTAAACAACAAACAAATTAAAACAAGATATACCGGGGTAGTCACTGATTCAGAAAGCACTGTGCATGAGTAGCCCAGTGGTCAAGAAGCATAGTGCAAGGTTCGAAATTAGGTATTGAAGTCTATTGTTCCTTCTCTTGACCCTGTGCTAAAAATTGAAGATCTCGTGCATTGCTTGAGTCCAATACTTTCCTCATGAATCCAAGGAAACCAAAACTAAACACTGTTAGGTGATGAATTTGGCTGTGCAGTAGGGCTGGGACGAGTCCAAATTTACTAACCAGGTACCCACCCCCCTATTACCCGACCCTACCCTGGTACCCACTGTAAGTCTGAGGAGATGTCTCAAAATGTCCGAATGGGAACATTTTTAGCATAGCCCTTGCAAAACATTCTAAGATACATGCATTGAACAATCTGGTCATTCATACACTGAAGTTGAATTTAGTTTTAACTTTATTCAACCACATGAAAAATCAGAAGGAATGGGTGCGTAGTCAGAAAGAAATGCGAACATTAGTGACTTGTAGTGTAACCATAGAGTTCTAGATAATTTTTTCATTAAACAATATATCACGTGACTAACCACGGGTCCGTGTAGTCCTGTGGGTACCCGGGTCCTACTCTGTACCCACCTGACCCGGGTACCTGAGTTACCCGTCCCAGCCCTACTGTGCAGGGTTGCATCCTCATTTATCCATGGCTGGATCTGCTGATTGTGGTTTTGATTCCTGTGAAATCTTGATTAAGATCAGATTATAGGACTAGACCATCATTGAATAGATTATTTTTGCAACCTGTGATTTTTTAAATGAAACAATCACAAAATGTTTCTTTTCTTTTCCAGATGTAGGGTTAACAACTGATGGGTCTGTAGTTCATGTGTAAAGTCAGAGCCTTGTTCTGAGCCAGGAGGAAAGACAAAATGTCCGAAGATGGGTACCTCCAGCCCCGGCCTGCAGACTATGACCTTGACCCTAGACTGAAACACCAGCCTGAGCAATCACAACCTGACCTACGTCAAGACGGACGCCAGGAATCCAAGCCAAGATTTGATTCAGGTAGTTTTGTATTTGTTGCCAGAAGTAAATGGTGTCCTATCTATTTGTTAATATTGTATAATATGGTGATACTCACTTGGTGACGCAATATTTTCTTGTGTATAATGCAGACATTTTAAAAAATGTACCGCTGTGTAGATTGGTATGTCAATTATACAGTTTAGTATGCAATGAGTTTTGATTTTTCCTCATAGCAAAAACAATGCTGTCAGCATCCTACATCAGAAATAGCCTGTCAGCAAGTCAGTAGTGTAGTATACCAGTTACTCTTGTCCACAAGACAGCATTTCCTCTGAACTCACACCAGAAAATATGATTCCGGTAGATCAATTTACATGTTAAATAGGCTGTATCATGACAGTACAAGACACAATATCAGAACTGTGTAGAGTATGCCTCCTTAGCCTCAGTTACACAGTGTATGTTACCGGTGAGGTGTGGTGAAATGGGGTTTAACGTCGCGTCCAAGATTATTGCACTTATATAGCGACGTGCATGTGTTTGTGTGGCTGCTTGTACTAGTCCGGACTGATGCCGATGTATAGTGCTAGCTCACTGAGATACCATGCTACAGTTTAACATGAATACCCCACTCAGACGCAGTATACTGACTCCAAGCCGACCAGTCCTTGTTTAAGTCCTTAATGCCGAGCGCCAGACAGGGTAACAACAAGTACCATCTTTTAACATCTTTTGGTATGACGCGGGCGGGGATCGAACCCCGGACCTTCCGCTCTACCACTAGGCCACGGAGGCGGTTGTTGGTTACCATATTCTATTGTTATTAATATGCCCCCTTGTAGAATATACCATGGAGAATGCTCTGTGTAAATAACGGAGTCAAAATTGTTTGCTTCATGTTAAGTCTTGGATGGAGTGTGCAGGATATTACAAACTTGGTCACAACTTCGGCGTAAATGTTATTTCATGGTAATATGCTATGCAACACTGTTGATTACAACTTTGATTGTATTTTCAATATTACGATCCCTACTTCTAAAGTGTATTGCCATTTATATATTTCTATTTTCCTCAATGGTTCTGCACAACAGTTGTAACAGTTGTCAATAGTCAATAGTTTCCAAGAACGATGTCTTTATAAGAGGAATCCTGTGAATTTGACATATGCACATAAATTGAGATCCTCCGCATATGTTCCGTGATTAAGTTTAATTGTTTGGGTGGCGGTCGGGTAGCCTATTGGTTAAACCGTTGGCTCATCACGCCGAAGACCCGGGGTTCGAGTCCCAATGTGGGTACAATGTGTGAAGCCAGTTTCTGGTGTCCCCCGCCGTGATTTTGCTGGAATATTGCTAAAAGCGGCGTAAAATCATACTCACTCACTCACTTTAATTGTTTGGAAATAAACTGTTTTTGTTTTCGTAGCTCAAGGGTAAGTATGATGTCCTCCCCAAACTCCTACATCCCCATAACCCCTATTGCTTATGACAAAGCTCACAGTTGACTGACCCGCCTGTTGCCTTTTTAATTAAATGGATTAACCCGAATAAAGAACCAACTGTATGGAGATAATTAAATGAATAGCACATAATTCCTTTGAATACCTTACCTCTATTACATCATAGCCATTATTTCTGTTTTTTCTCGCACAATAAAACTGTTTAGATTTTTCAACACACACCTTATTCATTGTCAGTATATCTAATGTACAGTTGGAGGGATTGTGTGATATTTCTGTCTGTTATGAATGTGTGTATGAAATTTAGAATTTGCCCGTTCACGGGTTTGTTCGGTAGTTTTTGAATAAGGCTGTTGTGCTTTCCTGAAATCTATAAATTTGGCCAATGTGTATTGTTTTGTACCTGTGCTGTTTTATCATCTTGTGTAAAGTTTGCCGGGTTGGAGTGAAGCTGCTCTGGTCTGGGTTAACAAGCTTATCCTTACTCTCATGAGTGAGTGAGTGACTGGGTGAGTGAGTATGGTTTTACGCCGTTTTTAGCAATATTCCAGCAATATCACGGCGGGGGACACCAGAAATGTGCTTCACACATTGTACCCATGTCAGGAATCGAACCTGGGGTCTTCCGTGTGACGAGCAAACACTTTAACCACTAGGCTACCCGACTGCCCCCTTACTCTCATGGGTTTATTAGCTTTCACCCTCATTGGACTGTTCTACTATATGTATTACAAAAGGTAAATTCCGTTGTTGTTTTGACAAAGTGTTAGTGCATTGGGGCGTAGGTGTTTGGGGAGACAATCGTAAGTATTTCTGGCAGTTTATGACGTGTGTAGAAGTATCCATTTGCAACAAAAAATATGAATGCTTGCTTCTCCTAAAAGTTCTATTTACCTTTTTGTTTGATTATAAGGAAATTGTGTTTATCCTTTGCACTTACAAAACCCTAAGTCAGAGACATTGTCACTGTAGTGTTTGCTATGAGCAGCTATCTTTGTTCCAATCAAAGTTGATGGTTAGGCTGAGCTCATGTGTTTGTTTGTCATCTGAATTGATATAGGGACTCTAGATGTACAGTTAGTGTGCTGCAAGTTGCTGTGCAGAGCTAGGGGGCACGGGTGGCCCAGTCGTCTAAGGCGCTGCGATTCGCTGTGCAGAGTTGCGTCCCTTAGGCACGCCAGAAACCTATGATTGTGGGTTCAAATCCTGGTTTGCCCTGATTATGTTTCCAGGTTTGTCAGCATCATACCCGTGCTCGTGGGTTTCACCGAAGTGGTAAACGTCTGAGACCTGTATGACTTCGGGCTTTCCTCCCACATTAAGCTGACACGCCGTGATATGACTGGAATACTGTTAAAAGTTGTGTTAAACCCAACTCACTCACTCACTCACTGTGCAGAGCTAAATCTCAAATCCATCCCATATTCTCCTCATTAGGCTCACACAGTGAGATCAATACCGTTCAAAGCTATGTAAAATCCAACTTTGTAGGGATGTTGAGGTAGCGTTGTGGTTAAAGTGTTGGCTTGTCTTGCTGAAGTCCCAGTTTTGATTCTCTACAATGGTAAAATGAGTGAAACTCCTTTCTGGTGTCCCAGATACTGCAGGAATATTACTAAATGTGTCATAAAACACAACTCACTAACTCACTCACTAACTCACACTCTTACCCTACCGCTTAACCTGTATAAACAGCAATACAGATAGTTTCCACAGGATTATTTTATCCTCTTGATAAATACCCTTACCGGTAAGTCTTTCTTACACGATGATGTAAGGATCAAAAACTGGCACAGAGATGCTTGCAGCATGATTCTGAAGAAGCTAAACGGATTACCACAAACAGTGAATGTGTTAGAGATCAAGAGATATGGAATTACTGAACAATTGCCTGACTGATGGTGTACCGCGTACTGCGTGAGGTGAACATCTGACCTGAGATAACATGCAGGGTTACACAGATAAGTTGGGACAGGCTATGTGTAAACATGCACTGTGAGCCACCCCCAGTCTTGCTGGCTCAATGTGAATTCTAGGCAGGTATTTCGTGTCAGATGTGTGTATGTGCTCTTCCGGTTCAGGCAAAAGTAAACAAGGAGGTCTCTAAAAGCTGGATTGATTGAGGTTGATTTGTTTGGAAATAATCAAGGTTTAAGGGAATGTCCTTGACTTTTCACTGGAAAATATATTTCCTGATTTTAGACGTCAAAGGAAAAGTATACCGAGATCTTGGATGACTGGTGATATCTTTGGAAAAATCATAACAAGGGAATGTCCTTGATGACTTGTTGGAAGATATATTTCCTGATTTTAGAAGTGAATGGATTTGGTCATCAGTTGAGGGAAGGCTTGGACTCTGAGTTCATGTGATGGTTGTGCTGGTGTTTGAGAGGAAGACCAGGCTTGTTAAGGAGGGGAAATGAGCCGGTTGTGTCAAGTAGACGTTTTCTTGTAGTGATCGTGATGTGAGTTAGAGGACTTGTGGACTAGCACCGTGTAGCCGTACAGTGAGTATTCTCTACCTTTAAGTTAGATACTGGAATGTGCTGTGAACAGGAAATTGTAACATGATTTGATGGGTAAAACTAGCTGAGGAATTGGAGGGAATTATTGGGACAGATATGTTATAGATGAACACAATACTGGATGCAGTGTCAGTGTTAGAAAATGGGACTAGTCCTATAGTCCTTGCCAAACGGCCCAATAGTTAAGGTATCATAAGGACTAGTAGAAATTTGCCCTTTTTAAGGGTTTTGCTATGTGTTATTGAGGAGGACGGGTAGCCTAGTGGTTAAAGTGTTCGCTTCATTTTGTTATATGTTATCATTATAAGGACTAGTGGATTAAAATTGTTTGATTCTAACGCTGAGTGTATGCCGAACACATATCACTGTGGCTCCTAGCATGATTGTAAACCCATTTCACTTTAGTGCTTTTCAACACGATTTATCATACAATTAATGATTTTAAGGACATGTTGAGAAATCATTGGGTGAAAAGTGGAATTGTGTTTCATAGTCATTGTCATTACATACAGTAAACAAGTTTATAATGAACACACTTATGATGAACTGACGGATATAACAAACTTATTTTATTGTCCCGGCCATTTGCTGTATGTCTGCTGTACATATGCTTATAATTAACTACTGTTATAACGAACTAAAATTAGTGGCCCCTTTGAGTTTGTTATAACCGTAGTTTACTGTACTTTTCTCCTCACTTTGTAAAGGAGAATTTGTCAAGTTCATCTAGCAATGAACCAGTGTTCTCATAGTCACAGCAACACAGGCATGGCCAAGCATGTCATCACAAAACTGCATGTCGGTGTGTCAGGGGCTGAGTTAGTCCTGATTCCAACACTATAACCCATTTGATGATGAGAGGATTATGCAATAGGGTTGGGACGGGTAACTCGGGTAACCGGGGCGGGTGGGTACAGAATAGGACCCGGGTACCCACTGGACTACCCGGACTCGTGGTTAGTCACGTGATATATTGTTTAATGACTAATATTATCTGGAAATCTATGGTGACACTACAAGTCACTAATGTTTGCTTTTCGTTCTGACTCTGCACCCATTCCTTCTGATTTTTCATGTGGTTGAATAAAGATATAACTTAAGTCAACTTCAGTGTATGCTTGACCAGATTGTTTGATAGATGTATCGAAATACGTTTTGCCAGGGCTATGCTTAAAATATTCCCAATCGAACATTTTGAGACATCTCCTGAGACCTAGAGTGGGTACCCGGGTAGGGTAGGGTAATAGGGGGCGGGTACCCGGGTAGTAAATTTGGACTCGTCCCAGCCCTATTATGCAAGTTTGACAAGACCCTCCATCTATATTGTATATCTGATGAGTCACTGGTTGTGTAGTTCATGGAACTGTACTTTATGATGTGAGGGGTGTGTTGGGATAGGAATTACTGTATTATGGGATTTCTGGGGAAACGGAAACAAAGCTGATTTATGGTTCATCCGGCATATGATGACTATAGAAACAAACCTATATTGTAACAATGATGTACTCAGAACACATATTGAAATAATGATATGCTATTATTGCATGTAAATTAAGGAATATACTAGGGCTGGGACGAGTCCAAATTTACTACCTGGGTACCCACCACCATATTACCCGACCCTACCCGGGTACCCGCTGTAGATATTTAGAGATAGGTACAAACTGTCCGATTTGGAAAAGTTTGATCATAGCCCTGGCAAAATGTATTTAGATACATGTGTAAAACGATCAGGTCATGCATACACTGAAGTTTACTGCATGAAATTTTATATTTATTCAAACATATAAAAGTCAGAAGGAATGGGTGCACAGTCAGAAAGAAATGCGAACATTAGTGACTTGTAGTGTAACCATAGAGTTTTATATAATTTTTGTCATTAAACAATATATCACGTGACTAACCACGGGTCTGGGTTAGTCCTGTGGGTACCCGCAGCCCCCCCAAACTTTCAGGTTTTTTTTACATTAGGGTTATGACAAGGAGCCCTTTACTTTTATCGTTTAGTTTGAAAACTGTATCATTGAGAATCAGGGTTGCAATAGTAATTGCCCTTGCATGTACATTTCACAAGTAGTATTTTGTAATGGAATCAATGAAAACATTAAACTTTGTTTTTTGTTTAACGCTGCACTCAGCAATATTCCAGCTATATGATGGCAGTCTGTAAATAATCAAGTCTGGACCAAGAAAATCCAGTGATTGGTATCATGAACATCGATCTATGCCATTGGCCACCCAATCCTGTTAGTCGCCTCTTACATGCGTAGTCGCCCCTTACAACAAGTGTAGTCACCTCTTTTGACAAGCAGAGTCACCTCTAATGACGAGCATGGGTTGCTGAAGACCTATTTTAACCTGGATCTTCAAGGGTCAAATATAATGAGAATACATAGTCATGATAAAGCGTGTTTAATGATAAGTGAAAGTGTTCCATTGTGAAGAAAAAGTAGCAGGTTTAAGTATATGGATGTTGATGTCATTGTGAGGCACAGCTCGGAGTATGTACTTTAACAAGCAAGTGGTGATATCAAGATTGAAAACTGCATCTGCACCATAATGTGGCTTAGTTGCTGTAAGTATTGAAGTTGACCTCACTTTACACTCCTACATTTTGACTAGTCCATGTTTACAATACTCTGACTTTCCAGTCTGTCACTTTAGCCACTAGTCTGAATGACATTTTATTGTTTAGCAAGCTCAAATAATAACTTAAGCAACTTACCAGAGGGAGGTCCAGTACACTGTATTTCTGTTTTGTAAGCTCAGCAAATAACTTTTGCAACTAGTCAGCAGCAAGTCATGTAACGTGTGTTTCTGTTTCGTAATGTCCCTTTTCTATATATACAACTCGTAATATGTTAAAAAAACACCCGATGCTTTCATACTAACATGGGGCGGTCGGGTAGCCTAGTGGTTAAAGCGTTCGCCTGTCACGCCAAAGACCCAGGTTCAATTCCTGACATGGGTACAATGTGAGAAGCCCATTTCTGGTGTCCCCCGCTGTGATATTACTGGAATATTGCTAAAAGCGGCGTAAAACCATACTCACTCACTCACTCACTCATACTAACATGAATAAATCAGTTGTTCTTGAACTTCTTTTGGGTTGTATATGTAGACCTTTCCAATAATAATTCTCTGAACAACCAGGTTTCTGGATGAACAGAATCTGGCCCAGCAGGGCTTGGCTGTCCCTGTAATGTTATACGCCAGCTACACTGACTATGATACAGGGGTGCCATTAGTCCCAATTATCTTGTAGATGTGGAATGTAACTTGTAGGTGGTAATTGGTTCTCAAAGGACCAAGTTTCAGACAACACATAATAAGTAAATGGGTGAAAGGTTTTCATCTTGAACAAATCAGTCAAAATGTTGGCGATACTGGCATTTGGCACAAATCAGACAAAAAGGAAGTCCAAAGGTTTCTAGCTGGATTGGCTTGTGAAGAGTTCATTGTTTGAAGGACATATCACTAGAATTTCATGCTGCAAGGTAGCCAGTTGAGGTAGATCAACTTTTTTTGTTGATGGTTGTCAAACATTTGTTTTTGGTGAGTATTGCTTTAACAGTAAATTTCTTCTAAATTTGAAAGTGTTTGTACCTTGGTTGTTTCATGACAGTGGTAAACATCCTGCACTTGCTTCAGCTTTTTGCCCCCATAAAGTTGACATGCCGTGATTAGTCCAAATGTTGTTATATATAGCAGTGTTAAATTCAACTATTTACTCATAATATTTTGCCCTTGTTAAAGTACTTTCCAGAACATTTTAGATTTTCCAAGTTTATCCTTATCTTCCTTGCATATCAACTATGTGTTTCAGAATCACAATTGTTTCATGTAGGGGAGGGAAAATGGAAATTATTTGATGGTGTCATGCTGATAGTGAGTCAAGGGAAGTGGCTGACAAACCATTGTTTGTCTGAGACCAGGACAATGTCGGTCACTATGTCAGAACCAGGCCTTTACAGAACCTGGCTGGAAAGGCCAGCTGAGCCATTACAGGAAGTCGACATCACGGCAATTGTGATAGATGTCAACAGAAAGTGCTTTTGTGATTAACAATCAACATGACTATAGAAATGAACATTTTTTAAAAGGGGCAATGATATTTAATCTAGGTCTTCTCAGACTATTGTTTCCATGGTGGCAACATATAAATGTGCTTAAACAGGTTTAGTGATTCATAAAATAATTATTTTTTATGTTTTTATTTACTGGTATATTAATTATCAGTTAGTGTGGTCAGTTTCACTTTGTAGAGACAAAAAGTTCAGACATTAGCTAGGAAATCATTTACTAGTATGTCACATGAATAACTATTAAGTATGAAAAAACCCAGAAAATATCAAGTCACAAGGACAGACCTTTTGGTCTGTACATAAGGGAATTCTTGTTTGATATCAAATCGTATTCTTAATGGAAATAATAATAACAACACAAGTGATATGTAATTTTAAATAATAAAGAGACAGTTTATAATTTGCCTTATATCCCATTACCAAGAGTGAGTGAGTGAGTGAGTGAGTATGGTTTTATGCCGCTTTTAGCAATATTCCAGCAATATCACGGCGGGAGACACCAGAAATGAGCTTCACACATTGTACCCATATCGGGAATCGAACCTGTGTCTTTGGCGTGACAAGCTAACGCTTTAACCACTAGGCTACCCGACCGCCCCCCATTACCAAGAGGTAGCTGATGGCCCCAAATGACCTAATCATCACTTGATAAACCGATAATGAAAGTACTGAACAATAATTGATTAGAGAAAGTAAAGCAATCTTCATTCATATTCTAGACCTAAGTATGCAGTGTGATTGACAGATTCAGTTTACAAACCCTGGTACTTTTGTACCTACCCATTTCCCCCCCAATATCTTACACTGATGTCGATGAAAAAGTGACTTTAAAAATACTTATTAACTGTCCAATTTTGACGGCCACGACTCATTACGTCTTTTCCTGATTATGTGTATGATGTAGTGATATGGCTGAATATTGGTAACTATGGCTTAAAACAAGATTCATTCCCTTAGTAGACAAAAACAAAAGTTGTATTTTTTTCTTCACTTCTTCAAAATTTGGAAAAACTCCATCGACAGGTTCCATTGTGGTATTAAATAATTGGACCTGGCTTAATTAATAGTTGATAAGAGTTATTAATTTTAACTGCTGTCTTAATTATTGTTTCCTTTGGAGCCAATGATAGGACTTACCAGTAAGCAGAATAATGTGTATGGTTTATCATGACCAGATAACACAAACTACTAATGGCTTCACCCTACACCCACTCACAGACACAAACAAGTGTCATTTCCCAGAAATGTGTGGCTACATGGTACACTGTAGTTGGTCGTTTCCGGGGATTGTGGCACATCTACCTATATAGCCAGCAGTGTACGGTACTTGTTGTTTCCCTGGATTGTGGTACATCTACCTTTATAGCCAGCAGTGTTCAGGTACTTGTTGTTTCCAGGGATTGTGGTACATCTACCTTTATAGCCAGCAGTGTTCAGGTACTTGTTGTTTCCAGGGATTGTGGTACATCTACCTTTATAGCCAGCAGTGTTCAGGTACTTGTTGTTTCTAGGGATTGTGGTACATCTACCTTTATAGCCAGCAGTGTTCAGGTACTTGTTGTTTCCAGGGATTGTGGTACATCTACCTTTATAGCCAGCAGTGTTCAGGTACTTGTTGTTTCCAGGGATTGTGGTACATCTACCTTTATAGCCAGCAGTGTTCTGGTACTTGTCTTTTCCAGGGATTGTGGTACATCTACCTGTATACACAGCAGTGTTCAGGTACTTGTTGTTTCCAGGGATTGTGGTACATCTACCTATATAGCCAGCAGTGTTCAGGTAGTGTTGTTTCCAGGGATTGTGGTACATCTACCTATATAGCCAGCAGTGTTCAGGTAGTGTTGTTTCCAGGGATTGTGGTACATCTACCTATATAGCCAGCAGTGTTCAGGTAGTGTTGTTTCCAGGGATTGTGGTACTTCTACCTATATAGCCAGCAGTGTTCAGGTAGTGTTGTTTCCAGGGATTGTGGTACATCTACCTATATAGCAAGCAGTGTTCAGGTAGTGTTGTTTCTAGGGGTTATGGTACTTCTACCTATATAGCCAGCAGTGTTCAGGTAGTGTCGTTTCCAGGGATTGTGGTACATCTACCTATATAGCCAGCAGTGTTCAGGAAGTGTTGTTTCCAGGGATTGTGGTATTTCTACCTATATAGTCAGCAGTGTTCAGGTAGTGTTGTTTCCAGGGATTGTGGTATTTCTACCTATATAGTCAGCAGTGTTCAGGTAGTGTTGTTTCCAGAGATGGTGGCACATCTACCTATATAGCTAGCAGTGTTCAGGTAGTGTTGTTTCCAGGGATTGTGGTACATCTACCTATATAGCCAGCAGTGTTCAGGTAGTGTCGTTTCCAGGGATTGTGGTACATCTGCCTATATAGCCAGCAGTGTTCAGGTAGTGTTGTTTCCAGGGATTGTGGTACATCTACCTATATAGCCAGCAGTGTTCAGGTAGTGTTGTTTCCAGGGATTGTGGTACATCTACCTATATAGCCAGCAGTGTTCAGGTAGTGTCGTTTCCAGGGATTGTGGTACATCTGCCTATATAGCCAGCAGTGTTAAGGTAGTGTTGTTTCCAGGGATTGTGGTACATCTACCTATATAGCCAGCAGTATTCAGGTAGTGTTGTACTTGTAGTGTTGTATTTATAACTCATGGTTCCACTACATGTCACTAATGTTCACGTTTCTTCCTGACTATGCACTCATTCCTTCTGACTTTCATATGCTTTATTAAAAGTGTATGCATGATCAGATCGTTTATACGTGTATCCCTGTGTTATGGGTTTTGGGGCGCTTAAGAAAATTCATAGTTTTCTCTCTAATCACATGAACACTGTAAAAAATCTCATTCACTTACAAACGACAACTTTCTCTTAAAAACAAGCCATCATCTAGCTATTTACAATGTCTGCATGATGCTACACCCCTGCTATAGCGTGAGAAATTTGATAAACATAGCTGTACGAAAACGTATGATGTTCGAAAACCTATGACCCTACGATATATATTACTATCTAAATAGTTTTTGCCTGGCTCTGGTTCAAACAATTCCCAATTGAACATTTTGTACCCAACGTTTGATAGCTACAGTGGGTACCCAGGTTGGGTCGGGTAATAGGGAGTTGGGTACCAGGGTTGTAAAAAATACAGAAAACTTTGACTGAACAGACAGCCATGGAAGCTGAAAAACCTTCATCTTGGGTATTTCAAATTTTGTACAATATACTGGATATATTCATACTGGGAATTGTAATTTTTCTCTTCTTCTAGGTTGAATAATTAAGGTAATTCCATCACCAAGACCCAAGACCCGTGAAGATCTGGGGTAGAAGAGGTCTTCAGCAACCCATGCTTGCCGTAAAAGGCGACTATTGCTTGTTGTAAGAGGCGACTTACGGGATTGGGTGGTCAGGCTAGCTGACTTGGATGATGCTTGTCATCGTATCCCAATTGTGTGGATCGATGCTCATGATGTCAATCACTGGATTGTCTTGTCCAGACTCAATTATTTGCAGACCGCCGTCATAAAGCTGAAATATTGTTGAGCGTGGTGTTAAACAACAAACAAACAAACCCAAACCCAAACATAACTTCAACCTAATTAAAACATAATCTATAACATTAGTACTTGTATGATCATTCTTTACAACTGGATCCATGTATGTCATTCTGCTCTGTGGTTTGATGTTCACACTATCGACCACTGGTTTGTCTTGATTTCATTCAGTTATTTGTAGCTGTGGTATTACACATGATGGTGTTAACAGAGTTCTACCCATTCACGAATAGAATTATTAATTATAAAAGTTAAAGAGTATTAACAAAATCAATAAAAGTTTTGTGAAAAATTATATGGACACTGTCTTCTTAATCTATTACACACATTCTTGTGATTTCCATACGCGATATGAACATGTCTGTTTGTATTTGGGAAGAGAGTAAAGAGAGAGAACTGTACATTTTATGACTGCTTCCAGCATAGCAGATTATTTACTTCTTTTGTAAGGGTGTGCAGTATGTCTGTAAATTGAGGTAAATGTTTTCCTCGATATAAATCACAGTTTTATTTTTCCATGCTTGATTTATCGGGTGATTTCAAATAGTGATTTTTATGATGTGTTTAATACTTATATACTTGCCAAATGCCACGCTGCCCCGGAGCATGCATCCGGAGCCCCAAGATGATTATTGACTGAGTAAACATTATTTTGTACCAGCATTTTGTTTTGTTCCATTTATGAATTCATACCTTACTGTAACAGATTGCTTCTGAATTCAAAATTTAGAATTATACAATATATCGTGATACGTATAGAAATACGGCCTTGTGCATCGCAAAATATTGTGATACACTTTGAACCTCCAATACCCATCCCAATAATCTTTCGTAAACCTATATCTGCCTTTGTGAAACTAAACATGTAAAAACAGTATTCATTACTTATAGAAGAGCTAATACTTCTAAAATATTTTGCAGTGCTAGTGTTAATAGAAACATTGTGACACAACCTGCACATTGTTGCAGGTAGATTGTCTCATCCAGACTTGATTGTTTACAGGTATTGATGTAATGTGGATATATTGCTGGCTGTTTGAGTAACACAACATTCACTCCCCACAGGTGTAGCTGATCTCGAGATGCATCGGCTGTCAAACTCCCCGAGGCCCAAGTCGTCAGCCATGTATGAGTACATCGACTCCGACTCTCACTATGAGGATGTTCGCGGAACCCTTGCAAGGTAATCACTTCATATGCATTTCCATATAAGATTTGTTATATTCTATAATAGTCATTACAATGCTTATGGTTGTCTTTCAGCTGTGTACATTCAGCAGTGTCAGAAATTGTTATTTATTTTCACTCATCTATGAAAATGATCTACTGAGTCACCATATTCCAATGGATAAAGTAAAAATCATCAATAGTCCTTCCTGAGTATCATTTTAGTGTCAAACTAGTGAACTTATGTTAACTTTGAACACTGTTTAACCATCATAACAAGTCCGCTGGGCTGGTGCCTGTTACCAATATAGTAGTCTTGTCTTCTGTTTGGCCTATCATATCACAACAGGCAAGTAAAGTGAATCACATGATTGCAATTGTTTTGCAAATATCAATTTTCCTAGATACATTCAGTCAATTTACATTTCCAAGAGAGAAAAATACAATATATTCGTTGAAAATATTTAAATGTCTAAGTGAAAGTGATGAAATCACACGCTTCGTAATCGGCTTAAAAACAAACCTATTTCAGGGCAGTGTCCTAAACCTACTGGCGCATTGGTGACAACTGTTTTCACTGGCTGCTACTTTTGCTGGGTTTATTGATCTTGTAATTCTAAGCCTTTGTACATGCACTGTTTCTGTTATTTCCGTTAACCCCACAATAATATTAACATTGCTAACATTGTTGAATGAGTGAAACAACTCTTGATCTTGACATTGTGAACAAATAAGATGACAATTAGCAATCGGTAACTAGTGTTTTATTACTAACATCCTGTTTGGGTAATAAAACACCACAGTCCTGCCTGTATTCAGGGATTCTGTGTTTAGAAATATTTTGCAGAAATGCCCTCTCAGTGCAGAAATGTACCTATCTTGAAGAAAATAATTTATCTGCCAAGGAATTTGTCAAATACACTGCAGAAACAAATTTATATTTTGTTTTCAAAAGTTGACTTTTGTATTTTTGCTTACTGAAAGTGCATGTCTATGTTTACACTAGTGATCTCCTGATTCACTTCAATAAGTTATTTTAGCCGTGGATAAGTTTATAAAAACATGTCTGCTACAAATCAATTACAGATGCAAAACCATGAAATTCACAAAAACTAAACTTTAAAGATTGCAGAATTGTGAGCAGAATTGTCAACATGTGGTTGCAGAATTTACAAAAAATTGACAGCGAAATTTTTATTTTTTGGCCTCGGAATACATAGGGAACTGAGTGCCAACTGCTCTCTGCACTATTGTACACATTAAATTCTTGACAGGGATTAATCCCCTGAGAGCAGACAGAAAAAAGATATGTATAATAAAATCTGAGGCAGAAGCAGGCAAACTTGGCGTAACCCATTTTAACCCCAGTAAGGGGATTCTCCACAGTGGCGGAATGTTTTGATTGGGGGACGATTTCCTCTGTCGTTCTGTATCGTCTATTTTAAGCTATTTCCGTTTTTTAATTTAATTTCTGGTCAAGCATTTTTGAGTAAGTATGCCCTAAAGTATTTAAATCTGCAAAGATGCTATGTTTTCTTTACGTGCCCTTTGACACAAGTGTCATCTACTGCAGTGATATAAACTAACAGTTTTAGTCCACTAGTCGTTATAATGATAACATACAGTGAGTGAGTTTGGTTTTACGCCGCTTTTCGCAATATTCCAGCAATATCACAGCGGGGACACCAGAAATGGGCTTCACACATTGTACCCATGTCAGGAATCGAACCCGGGTCTTCGGCGTGATGAGCGAACGCTTTAACCAATAGGCTATTCAACCGCCCCGATAACATATAGCAAAACCCTTAAAAAGGGCAAATTTCTGCTAGTCCTTATGATACCTTAACTATTGGGAAGTTTGGCAAGGACTATAGGACTGGTGTCAATTTCTAATGCTGCATTGGTAGCCCCATCTAACCGACTCACAGACTCTTTTGGCAGAGTTAGCTTCCTTCTTGTACCACTCATCCCCCTCAGCAGTCTGAACCTCTTTGAAGGAGAGTATTCATTTGTTGCGACATTGATATATTTGATGCAGCAGATGAGTAACGTGTTAATACGACAAGAATTCATATCATGGTGTGTGATCATGCTGATGAGGAGGGACATGTCCCCCATCATCAAAGGAGCTGGAATTCATCCATAAGTTTGCCCAAATCCTGTGGTCGAGGTTTGAATCCTAGATAAGGATCCCTGGCTTGTCAGCACCTGCCTGGGCTTGTGAGTGTGACCTCAGTGGTCAATGTCTCAGTCTTGCATTCCTTTGGGCTTAGCTCCAATTGAAGCTGACACATTGGGATATAACTGAAATACTGGGGCGTTTGACTTGATGACTTGATGATGTCTTGGCTTCAGGAGTGTGTCACAGACACCTAATGGAGGCCATGACGTGAGGCAGTCAGTGGTGTCCGAGTCGAGGTCTGCTATGACTGATGTGACGATGAATACAGATGATACTGCTGCCATCTTCCGCTCAGCCGCTGATAAGAAGTGAGTAACGGTTTTACACTTTGAGTGTCATGAAGATCTCCCTCCATATAGCTGCTAGGGTTGAGGAGATGTTAAAGATAAGTTAAATCATAACAACTTATTGGTTCAGTATTGCTATTTTTACTATGTTTGTTATCATTGATTTCGTCCTATGCAGAAATTGGACATATTTCATGAAATTACAAATGCTAGATAATTCATCAAATGTTATGTGAAAGTATTCTGTACTCTAAACTGGACTTGCATGGTACTGATATTCAGGTCCGATTAAACAGCTCTCTGGATGTGACAGAAATATGTTTCTAGCATTAGTTACATCCCTTGGTATTTTTTAATGTGATACTTAAAGATCGAAGACACACTTTATATATAACAATAAATTTTGCTTTTTGTCTATGTTGTAAGTTATTGATGAGAACAGCTTACCACACATGTGAGTGAAATGTGTGTTAATCTGGATTAGGAAGAAACAGTAAGCCACAGATTATAAATATATATCTCAAGTCTCAAGTCTCAGTTGCCTGTGTGTTCAGGAAACGCTACAACCCGCTGTACCAGCCCGGAGGTGAGTCCGCGTCATCATCGTACGCCCGCAAGAAGAAGCAGCAGAAGCAATCCAGTCTGGAGCGTCACGTGCAAGTCCAGTGTGCCTTCCTCCTCCTCCTCAGCATCCTCGCCCTGGCCGCCCTGGCTCTCAGCCTGTACCTCCTCGTCTTTCAAGGTCAGCCCTCTATCCTCGTCTGGGGGTGGTGGGGTGGGCTAGTCGTTAAACCACTCACTCATGATGTCTACATTTGTTACCCCACATGGGTACAATGTGTGAAAACGATTTCTTGTGTCCCCTGCCAGGATTTTGCTGGAAAATTGCTAAAAGTGCTGTAAAACCTTACTCACTCACTCACCCATCTTTCTCTGAGTGTAATGTCCAAGACAATTCCATACTTCTTTTTTATGGTTATGTTATGGTTAGTAGATGAGTAATTGATTAACATGAAAGTTTGAAAGAAAAATGTGTGTATAAGAATGTGTGTTTTATTGTTTGGCAGCAATTTGGTCAGTTAATGAAATAAAGTAAAAAATGATTACTGTGCAGGATGCTTATTATCTTTACAGCAACAAATATTCACTTTTTAAGCAAGGACAGGTTGAAATACATTGTACAACAAAAAATAAAAAGTTAGTACCTGAATGTATATTTTGGCATTGTCATGGTTGGCCATTGGAATTGATAAGCATGGACAGGTTGAAAAATAAATAAATTAGATATTAGTATCAGATTATTATTTTTCAGTATGGCGTTGTGTGAGGTTGTCAGTTTGTAAAGTAGATGCTAAAATGATGTCAGTGCATGATGTTTGGTACCATAACAGCAACACATTTTCACCTCTCGGAGAAGCTTGTGTTTTTCATTGATGTGTACACTGAGGAGTTTTTAGGGCTGCTTGAATCAAGTAACAGTGATACTTCCCAACTTTCTAAGTTCTTTTTTCTAGTTATGGATCACAACAAATTTGTGCTGAGCAGACTCAACAGCCTTGAAGAGATTAATAAGAAACTGTCACAAGAAGTAAGTGTCATGATGTCTGTGTGTCGGATATTTGTACAGGATACTGGAGATCTTTGTTAACATCACAGTATGATAATATCTCACATCTCAAATTGAATAAATTTATCATTTTTTTAGGAGTTAAACATGCTGTAGATTTAACTACGTTCAATTGAATTTGGGACCGAATGTGCAACGTGAGATTTCAAAGGTTATTTAGTGTGGTTAAATCTACAGGTAACCTAGCTCTACATTGAAACACAGTATGCTTACCCTATTCGAGGTAATAAGCGCCCCGCTCTAATAAGCACCCACAGCAATATTTGCTAATATATTGGCCAGTGTACAATACTAATTAGCACCCCTTCCGATTGATCAATGTACACAAGACTTATATATTCGTGTATAATACGCACTCATGTGTTATATGCACACTTAATTATGGGCAATTAAATTCTGGAAAAATATATCTGTCGTACATAAACATTTCAGGCTGTCAGCACAAAATTTATCTTTTAACTCTGTTTTTTTTTTTTCACCAAAATAATATTCTAATAAGAGCCCCCTATTTCTAATTTTGAGGGCGCCCTGGGTGCTTATTACGTCGAATACGGTATCTCAATTCTATCATGATTTAAATAAAATGCTAACTCTTTGGTCTTAGCAAATATAATGAGTGAAGCGGCATGGGTTGAGTCCAGTGTTTTGAGTGGGTTGTCAATCAGAATTTACGGAATCACTGACAGCAGCCTCTAAACAAAATATGGCACTGTATATGCTCAAGCAGTTTGTTTACACCGAAATACTTCACTCAAACATATGACAGGCAATGAAAGCATGTAGCACAGCACCCCTGAAAAAAACTAAGCAAGCCTTGCAAAGGTTTCATTCTACACCCCACATCACGTTCATGATGTCATGTCTCTCATTGTGACGCAAAACATTTGACATCACAGTTGTATATAAAAAAGCACCAAATACCAAGCTCTCCTGTGTCCTCCAAACTTGAAATACAATGTAGATTTCTATTGTGTATTCTGATGTATTGCCACACATCCATTGAATAACCGCAACTTTTCATTTTGTAGACTGTAATTGTACATATGATTATTTAAATATGCCCACCGACAATTAACTTTTAAAATAGTACTCAATGTTCCCCAAACCCCTGAAGATCCGGGGTAGAATAGGTCTTCAGTAACCCAGGCTTGCCATAAAAAGCGACTTTGCTTGTTGTAAGAAGCGACTAACAGGATCGGGTGGTCAGGCTTGCTGACTTGGTTGATGCATGTCATCGTATCCCAATTGCATGGATTGATGCTCATGATCTCAGTCCCTGGATTGATCACCTTCATGTTCATTATGTTTCCTGTCCAGAATGAAGCACTCCTGGTGATTGTGACGGCAGCAGGCTTCAACACTTCCTTGACGACATCTCCGTTCATTAAAACTGTGAGTCATGTTATTGTTGTTGCATTGTTCTCATGAACTCAATGATATAAGAAGACAACTGTCAGCTCATATCAAGCTGTAATGAAGGATCGAGATATACCTTTTGATTGGGTCTTTGATAGGCTTTTAGAATTTGGAAGAACGTGAAGACATGGAACTGTCAGGTGGGTCAACTGATAAGGGGACATATAGTAGCACTGAAACATCCTTTCAAAGAATAAAGAAGTTGTAATCCATAAACAGTTGCATGTTTTCACCTTTTGATTAATCATGTAATGTATTAAGATCTAGCCCATTCACATCTGTTGATTACACAGCGGCTCTTTCCAAAAGGAGATCTTAGCATCTTGCCTATGGTTGAAGTGGTAAGATCTCTTTGTGAAACAATAACCAGAAATATAGAAGTATTTGTACTTGCTTTAAAATGATTAAAAAATCCTGAAGTTTAAAGTTTTGCAGACATATACCTCATATGACAGCGTATAAACCGAATTTTGAGGACCAGAAAAAAGATTCTGTAGAAAGGGGTCATCTTATATTTTTGAATATCTGCGAGTACCAGCAGCACATGTCTTGCAGTCCGATTTCGCAGTGTTTTTTGCCTTTCACTTCCTGTTTCGGCTTATCTGTGGGTCATATCATTTTCTTTCGTATTTCAATGGTCAAGTTAACACCCTGGCTTATCTACGGGGTCGGCTTATCCGCGGTCATATACGGTATAATAAAAGAAATGTTTTGTTGTATAGCTAAGTCAGATTGAATTCTTTCAGAAATGTGTTGCATAACTTGCATTAAAGTAATGAAGATTTTTTACTACAGGAACATTTTGAGATAATCGGTGTTGGGACTGTGATTTGGCCACTTATTATTGAGACATTGATAAATTAAAGTTATCCTTCCTCAATGATATATTTTCCATGCATTTGAATTACTAAGATATCTTCATTCATCAGGCACTTAATATCAGATTTCGGGCTGCTGTAAATGATAATGCCTTGAAAAATAATGTTACCCTTACAGCATGGTATCATGTCAATGATTCAAACTGTAATTGATTCTTAGTCTGTTTAAATTTGCGTAACAACTATTCTCAGTTGCCAGGAAATGGTTTGTTGTTTTTATTAGGTTTTTGCTGTAGCCAGAGACTATATTTTTCATTTTACCATTTTATTATCAAATGAAATATCTTTTTTTTGGTTGCATTTTATATCTTTATTCTTTAATCTATCCTAAAAATGGAACAATCATAATATTAATCCCTCTCAGTGATATTACTGGATTAATCACCTGTGCTTTTGCTGGATTAACACCCTCTGTGATACTGTTTGATTAATCCCTTTCAGTGATATTGGTGGTTTAATCCCTCGCTGTGATATTGTTGGATTAATCCCTCTGAGTGATATTGGTGGTTTAATCCCCCTTAGTGATATTTCTGGATTAATCTTCCTTGGTGATATTGCTGGATTAACCTCCAAATGTGATATTGCTGGATTAACCCCTCTCTGTGATATTGCTGGATTAACCTCCCAATGTGATATTGCTGCATTAATCCCTCTCTGTGGTATTGCTGGATTAATACCATGTTGTGATATTGCTGGATACACCTGCCCTTCCCTGTGATATTTTTGGATTAATCCCCCTTTGAGATATTGCTGGATTAATCCCCCTATGTGATAATGTTGGATTAGTCCGCCTTGTTGATATTGCTGGATTAGTGCTAAAGCAGCATAAAATCTGACTCCTTCACTCATCTAACATATCTTTCCAGTTGACCAATGCCAGTGAGACAGTGTTGACATTTGAGGAAAAACTCAACAGTCTGGATCAACAAATGACCTTCACCCAGCAGAATGTGTCACAGACGTTGGACTACTGGACGGCCTACTTCAATGAAAGCATCGTGAAGACCCAGAAGATGCCGGGACCACAGGTGAGTCGGGAAGATTAAGAATATGTAATAGCTCTGTAGGGCTATACAATATGCATTGCATTGTAATTGTGATGAACAATATGATATATTAAAGTCTGACGATAATTTGCACATGGAGAAGCCATATTCCTTCATCTTAGTCAATGAGTAGTGACCTAATACAAATATGTAAATTATACTTATACTACATGCTTAAAAACTTGTGCATACCATCAGAAAATTGTATTCATTTTCATACCATATATAAGGTGAGTTGCGACATGAGGAGCTTGATGGTCTCTTAAGCTCCTCACAGCGATAGTCCGTTCACAGAGCTCTCTATATACTATCGCTGCCACCAGTCAAAACTCCCCACTGTGATAGGTGGCCCCAACCATGCTTGTAGTTGAACTCGCAACCGAATGACCGTTATGTTTACAAACAAGTGACGACTGTTGTGACGCCGAATACACTTACCGCTGATAAATTACTTTCTTTGTTTGTCAATTTGAATTTCTATTTCATTAAAAGTATCATCTTTAATTGATAAAGTAAGATTGTCAGGGAGAAGTTGATTGATTTTCCGTTAGTCTGCAATGTCGAACCAATCTGATTATTAAAACAACAAAGTAAATTCATCTGGAAAACATGGTCAGTCGTAAACCTTTTCAAAATGAAATATGATGGCATTCCCAAAGACATAAACAAAAGTATGAACGTTACTACATATGGGGTTAGAGGGCAAATTTCAAGATTCTTGTAATGGCCGCGCCCACACTGGTGGCAGCGATGTTACCGAGAGTGTAACGAAGGTGTCACGCGCTGGGAAGGAGCTTGATGGTCTCTGCTCCAAGGGAGGTAATCCAGACATCTTGCTGACCATTGATTATGATATGTATATGGCTGGAATAGCTATATGGTCTCTTCTGCAAGGGAGGTAATCCAGGCATCTTGCTGACCATTGATTGTGACATGTAGAGCTATATGGTCTCTCAAGCTCCTTCCCAGCGTGTGACACTTTCGTTACACTCTCGGTAACATCGCTGCCACCAGTGTGGGTGCGGCCATTACAAGAATCTTAGATTTGCCCACAAACCCCAAATGTAGTAATGTTTATACTTTTGTTTATGTCTTTGGGAATGCCATCATATTTCATTTTGAAAAAGTTTACGACTGACCATGTTTTCCAGATGAATTTACTTTGTTGTTTTAATAATCAGATTGGTTCGACATTGCAGACTAACAGAAAATCAACCAACTTCTCCCTTACATTCTTACTTTATCAATTAAAGATGATAGTTTTAATGAAATAGAAATTCAAATTGACAAACAAAGAAAGTAATTTAGCAGGGGTAAGTGTATTCGGCGTCATGACAGTCGTCACTTGTTTGTAAACATAACGGTCATTCGGTTGCGAGTTCAACTCCAAGCATGGTTGGGGCCACCTATCACAGTGGGGAGTTTTGACTGGTGGCAGCAATAGTATAGAGAGCTCCGCAACCATTGATTGTGACACGTAAATGGCTGGTATAGCTATAGGGTCTCTGCTCCAAGGGAGGTAATCCAGGCATCTAGCTGACCATTGATTGTGACATGTATATGGCTGGAATAGCTATATGGTCTCTGCTCCAAGGGAGGTAATCCAGACATCTTGCTGTCCACTCCACTGCCAATGTGAAGAATACTTTCACCACTGATTATTAATACTACCATTCTGACTGCAGGGTCCAGCAGGGGTCGGGAACCTGTCAGCATGTGAATACAAAAAGGTGACAAGTACTGCAGTCTCCTCCTCCTCTCCATCCAGGACCTCCTTCCAGCCAGAGATGAGCCAGCTGGAGGTGAGATGCAGTTTGTGTCTTCTTGGTTTAACACCACATTCAGGGATATTCCAACTATATGGCAGTGGCCCCTAAATATAATCTAGACCAGACAATCCAGTTATCAATATTGTGAGCAACGATTCATGCCATTGGGGTAAGAAGACACACACTTAGCCTGACCACCTGATTCACTTAGGACCAGAAGGAGGTTTTTACCCAAGCCTTCTCAGAAAGATATTTGAACATTTTGTAGGAATGTCGTTTTAGTTTGAATGTGTTGTATCGTAAAGGTCAGATGACTAGAATTGTGTGGTAAATTGGTCCTGAAATGACAAAAAGCTTTTAAATGATGGTGTTGTATATAGTACATCTGTGCCAGGGGAAAAAGGCTATTATTTATGAGGATTGAAATGAACATATCTTACAGAAAAAAACAGTTGTTAAATTATCTTAATAAAAATAGAATACAAAAGACCCCAGAGACTTTCCATTTTCAAAAGAAATCTAGACTTGCCCAACATTTTAGACTTGCATGGACTGTATTGGATATATTTGTATCAGGGTCTGTATGACAGACTACAAAGAGGCATACATCTATTGTTATCACCTTTTCAGAGCAAGGTTGTGATGTTTGCTGCTTGTGGTGTGGAAGGTGGCACGGGTTCTTCCCTGGACCCGTATGTCATCACCCCCAACAAGGTACAGTACAGGTGTGTATGTTCCGGACAGACCTCCAGCAAAGACAGAATCTGCCACATCCATTTGCTTTTGTGTCCAAGAGAATCATAGTGCCTGTGTGTTACCATAGTGATGGCATGGGTGCTGGGATTCCACAGGACTCTCACCAGCTGTTGCTGGAGATGGTGGAAGATATTCAAGGATGTGAAGGAGGTGTGTCATTTGGGATCCTGAACCAGAATCACAACACAGGACAAGAATCCCTTTTTACCGCTATGGAGGATCTTGTTTTTTAATTGCCTCACATTTGCTCAGCATTCCTCAGAAAGGACTGAAGTCCAGCCTTATTTCCAGGAGGGACTCCTTTAACAATACCACTGGGCCTTGTGTGTATTCCTCCCTCATGTTGAAGAAGTCCGGCCTTATTTCCAGGAGGGACTCCTTTAACAATACCACTCGGCCTTGTGTGTATTCCTCCCTCATGTTGAAGAAGTCCGGCCTTATTTCCAGGAGGGACTCCTTTAACAATACCATTGGGCCTTGTGTGTGTTCCTCCGTTAGTTGAAGAAGTCAGGCCTTATTTCCAGAAGGGACTCCTTTACCAATACCATTGGGCCTTGTGTGTGTTCCTCCGTTAGTTGAAGCAGTCAGGCCTTATTTCCAGAAGGGACTCCTTTACCAATACCATTGGGCCAGTGTGTGTTCCTCCCCTATGTTGAAGCAGTGACTGAGGTGGACTAGTGCCATGGATCATGTTGACTCTGATAGATGTATGGGTGGTATGGGATGAGATATGTGTGAGATGATAGATACTACAACATAGAGACAGTGCCTTGATTGAAGGCAGGCCTTAGGGGGACAGAACCACTGGTAGTGTGCATGGAGTGTATATTAATGGCACACAAGTCACCTTGTGCCTCATGTCCCTGATGCCTTGATGAAGTCTGTCATCTTATAAGGGACTGACCATTTGCTATTCTGGGAAAGGGGACATGGATTTTGGGGGAAATAAACTTAATGTAAAAAAAGAACATTGCCTCAGTTTAAAAAAATAGAAATTAATGTTTGCTGGGTATCACGGATGTGATGGAAGTCTACCAACACTTACAAAGGTGAGGCTGCTGTGTTCTGCCGCTTCACCGTAGGATGAAGCTGAACCTAGGATCAGTTCAGATGCAGCCCAAAGTAACCTGCATTCTCTCTTCATTAGTGTGAAGGTGAAGGCTGACTGGTGTCCGTCCTAGAGATGGGCGTAATACAGCACAAAGTGTAGGGACAGAGTGCCAGCCAAGCCTCGGAGCACTAGATCCTGCGATGCATGCTTCAGCTGGTGCTTATATAGTACTCGATAAGGATGCTGCATGATAGTTGCTATGCAATCATTTATGGACTTTTCTGTATTATTCAAGTGCTAACTGGTTGTGAGATTTGGATATGCTTCATGCATTATCATTGTATATTCGGCCTTGTACTTGTACATTGTATAGTTTCATGTGCGTAAGACGTGTGAAATTAGGATTGATGATAGTATTAGATGAACTTGTAATGTATGCTTGATGAATTTATTATTAGATTTCAGACCAAAAATTATAAAAATGTCCTCTTATTTTTTATTTGACGTGCATTTTAATTTTTCTCATTTTTGTCTTTTTAAACAATCTCTTTAGAGCATCTGTGAAGATTAAATGCTTATGAATGTTATGAGGACAGGAACTAATCACTTCATCTGTAGGCATGTCAGGGCAATAAAATGATATGGATTGGATGTTTGTTCGTGAGGTGGGCGGGGATGAAAATGAAAAAAGTATTTATTATGGCCAATAAGTACAGTATTTGCTTTTTATGTACATCAAGACCACATGCATGTTACTGCCTCAACTAGTACTACTGCCTTACTAGTCCTCAAGTATTGCTTTATAAAGTAAAAGATGTTTCTTGGTCACAAGATCTCAGAAGATCTCAGGTTTCAGATTGTTAGTGTGTAATAACAGTTGACCTGTTTTGCATATAACCTCAAACCAAATTTAACCTGAATCATCTTGGTCATGCAGGTTCAACATGACTGTCATTTCGACCAACTTGTGTTATTCTTGGACAAGCTGAATAGCAACTCGTGCCTGTCTTGTAGCCATTTTTGTGACTGTTCACCCTAAGCGCCAACGGGCATAGTTAAAAGAATTGTCAACTTGTTGCATAATGTTTCACGTATATTTTCCCCCATGTCATAGATATTCCAGTTGCTACTGAAAACACATCAGGACTTACAGTATTTATACAGTATGATTGAAAATATTTAACTGTACCTAGGGTATATTTGTAGATGCAAGACATAAGTAAAATCGAAAAATATTCCTTAGGGATTCTTTGACTGAAGTACTTGAAGTCATATGCGCATTCTGATTGGTTTGTAGTATTTTCCTACATAACATTCATCGATAGGGGGACGAGGGACGAGGGACCTGCAGGTTACGGAAAGGGTTGAGTGGTGACGAGTGCATGACTGTTTGTATTTAAATGTAACCTTGATCAGTGGTGCCATGACATTCTTCCTTGATCAAAACTTACCTTTTAACTTGTGATATTTATGAGAAATATTATTAGACGTTCTATGCACCATAGAAGTCATTTTTCTTTTGTTTGGAATTATGTATATAGTTTTCTTATAAAGTCACTCGAGAGAAATGAATATTTAAATTAGTGCATTATATGCTTGTGTTGAACACAAATACGTATTTGCAAATACTTCATGGTATAGTTCAACCTTCATTGAGCTAATTTTCTGTTGAGTGAGTGAGTGAGTATGGTTTTACGCCGCTTTTAGCAATATTCCAGCAATATCACGGCGGGGGACACCAGAAATGGGCTTCACACATTGTACCCATGTCGGGAATCGAACCCGGGTCTTCTGCGTGACGAGCGAACGCTTTAACCACTAGGCTACCCGACCGCCCCAATTTTCTGTTGAACAGTTACCATACTGTTAATTTTGAAGATATATTTTAACTGCCTCGTATCAGTGTATTTGAGTGGTTTGTTGTTTTGTTTGGCTAGTTTGTATCATATATTTGGTTCTACATACCGTATTCGACGTAATAAGCTCCCGAGCGATATTTGCTGATATATTGGCTAGTGAACAATCCCAATTAGCACCCCTTCCGATTGATCAATGTACACAAGACTTATTTATTCTTGTATAATACGCACTCGGGTGTTATCTGCACCCTCAATTTTGGGCAATTAAATTCTGGAAAATATATATTGTGTATAATACACACAGACTTTTCTTTTGTATCATTTCAGGCTGTCAGCATAAACCATGAAATTTACGATCTTTCAACTCTGTTTTTTTTTCACCAAAATTTTATTCTATTAAGAGCCCCCTATTTCTAATTTTGAGAGCCTCCTGGGCGCTTTTTGTGTCAAATACGGTAAATGTATATCCCTTGTCAAAGATTCCAAAACCATCGACTGAAGGGAGCATACCGGCATTTGTAAGCTGTAGGAGTTTTTGTTATTTTTGTAAGCTTTACAACATTACTTTCATGACAACTGGTTATGATATTCAAAGACAGTGACATCTTGTTAATTCAAAGTCAAGGGGATTTTGTAATTCTTTCCATACTTGAATTGTGGAGTTCCAATATTAGACAACAGTGCTGATACAGATTCTTCTGCAACAATGATATAACATCGTAAGTGATGTTTTAAATTGATTGAGTTTAAATTAACAATGTTTCACTGTTGTTGTCTTCCATTATAGAGAAGCTCACAAAAATAGGCTGTTCTTCTTGTATGATTAGACATGGCTTTACAACTTTATATGCTTGAAAGCATTACATACAAATGGCATAAAGCTATTATTTGGAAACAGATTATGCATTGTTGATATATTGACACCTCTATTGTATACAAGTCTTTAAGAACATTATTGTATTTTGCAACCATTTCAAGAAGCATTTTATTTTTCTGATCTATTGGCATCTGTGAATGTTTTATATGATGTAATTTATTTACATGATATATTTAATTAATTATCAAAACAGGATTCCTTTTGTTTTTCTTACTGCTGATCTTCAATTAATTGCATTTGTAAAATGTATTTCAAGTGAAAACTGTGTATTTTTTATGAACTTTGATATTGTCAGTGTCACAATGGAAATCAGTATTATTCTGTATTTAATGAATCAGTTTCTTAAGATGATAATGAAGCTGGAATAGAATTGTTAAAACCATGTTTTTAAGTTTTTTTTATGATGTAATTGAATTAGGCATAGTGTAATGTACTTAGTTATATTTCTCATTCCAACTTTAAGTGGTATATGGTTATTTGACCTTATAATAACTTTTCTTGAAAGGCACCAAGGTATAGGGTATTGAGGTTGCGTAATTCATCTTGCCACCATCAGCAGCCTCTGCATCTGCAACATTGTCTGTAGAGGCATCACACAAGCTGTCCATGTTTCACATGTAACATTAATTGTTCGGAATCTCCCATAATGCCATTATATTGTATTATTTTTCAAACAACTAAAGCCATGATCTCAGTATGTTATTTTTTAGTTTACCAAATAGGAAGTCATCAGCTTCAAAGCTGACCATCATATATGTGGCAGAAGTCATCATTTATCTTTTAATGTTGAGTCCTTGAAATCATGAAGGGTAGAATGGAATTTTAATGACAGTATAACTTAGTATAGTTGTATGTTTAGTATAGCGGTAAGCTTGCATTGCATGTCAACAGTGGAACAGTTCAATCAAGCACCTAAGGCATTTCTGTGAAATCTGAGTACCGGTATATCTTTGCAAGGCAGTAGATTATGGTCTGATACTGTAGTGTCACAAGCTCTACTGCAAACTGAGAGTTCAACAAAACATAAAATGTATGTCTAGCTAGACTTTAGCCTATAGTCATGTTTAGTATATTTTCTGCAGTATGTATATCAGGATATAAATTCATTCCACCTGATCAAATGGCAATCCCTAAATGGACAAGAGCCTTTTTGTATCATTCCCTAATGCAGTTACTTTAGAATTATGGCTGTAAGCATAATGTTTTATCAATCACAACATTGCTCAAACCCTTTATGGCATTTGATATTTGAACATTTATGTCCTAGGTGAGAGCATGTTTGTCACAACTCAGACTTGTTGAATTATTTTTAAGTTTGACAAATGCTGTAATTTCTGGGTAACATTCATCATTGGCAGGACACTGACAAAGGGAGCAAGAAACAGGTTTCTATAATGGAAAGCATGTTATATTTGATTTAGTGGCTCTATGTTTAAAATTGTTACAGGAAGTTGAATGTATTTTAGTTTTAGTTTCACTTTTTGTTCAAGGAAAAATGTTCGTCAGTTTGGCTGCCTACATCTGGCTTATGCAAAAGAGTAAAGTGATTATGAATGTCCTGTTTCCACCCTTGCTGAACTAGGCTGCAGTTTCTATTTTGGCAGGACTAACGAGTCTATGAATAGTGCAATCAAATTCACACAATGAAATTGACATCTGGTTCATAAAAAAATGGGGCATATGTACCGCCAACTGGGCATCAACAGATATTTTACAAATCTTTTCATGTTTTTAATCGAGGTATTCATGTCATTAGATGCACTTTGTGAGGTAAGACATGTTCTATTAGAATATAGATCTTGATTATTGATCAGATTGTCTTCACTGGGAGCCGCCATTTTGTTTCAAGGAAATGCAAGTGGTATGAGACGTGGAATCTGATTGGTCAATACGAGTTACATAGAGCATATAATGGGGCAAAGAGGGACCTAACTTGTAATAGCCACTGGTGGCGCTTTGATCGAGCCACAAAGTTCCAGCCTAGTTCGGCAAGGGTGATAACTGGACTTTTGTAGTCATTTTACACCCTTGCCTTCAGAAAATGGGAAGCCTGATGGTAAAGGTGTTTGCTTGTCACTCAGAAGACCAGAGCACTTCTTACATCGAATATGGTAACTTACTCAGTCAAGGCATTGTGCTTATTATATTTGGACAGTAGTATGTTTTTTCTGTGTTATGATTTGATTTAATGTTTGGCTGTGTGACCATCTGCATCTGTGGACCAGATGATCTGGCTATCACGGTGCGAAGTTTTACCTGATAGTCATGATCAGAGAGTTGACTTACCCTGCAAGGTCTTGTATTCTTCAGGAGACCTTCTGTCATTGGGTTTCTGAATAAACAACAATGGCACATGTTGCAAGCTTAGATAGGATCTCTCGTTGACTTTCATGATTGTCATGTCATGTTGACGTGTTGAAACAGTGTGGTACATTGCTCATAATATGTACCATTGGTTTGTCTGTCCCAGACTCGATTATTTACAGTCTGTTGTGAAATCACTAGAATATTGCATACTCCAATGTAAGACAACAAACACAACATGGGATCCAACTGCCAGCTGTAGTCTTCTTAGACAATGCTGAATTGTTTTATAAAAGTTGTTTTTGTTTCATGATCACAAACATTTATTCTTCATTTAGTTGTTCCTTACTATTTTGTTATGAAACTATCTTTACATCGAATGATTTTGTTGATTTTTGAGAGAAGGAAATAATTTTGAAAAAATGTTGCTTGGCTGACATTATTTTCATTGGTCTTAATGTTGTAGTCTCACCAATGTTAGAAATGGCAAAGGGTGCATAAGTATGTAGTTTGCTTACAATTATTTACACGTTCATACTATTTGTCTTTCAGTTATAATTGTTCATAGTATGCTCCACTACGAGTCTGTTTGGCAGATATTATATTTCAATATTATTTTATTGATTGTTTTAAAATATGGCAAGAAACAAATATGATTTTTATCATGATGCATTCATCAGATGTTTATGCATTGTTTTGATTTATGAATGTAAGCTTCATTTCATGTGACCTATATACAATTTGTATATGTATATATGTATATTCAATGCGACAGGCACACTTATTTTTCCTGCTTTTCTACATAATCCGGGTACCATGTTATTTGTAGAGCAATAGCTGATCATGTGTTACTTACTTGTTGGCGCCATATTTTTTTCACTAAGTGATCTTAGTACTAAGACTGTCGGTTGTCCTGTATGGGATTTCGGCAGTTGTTGCGCTACGATGGCTGTGTGAAATAGGGCCGAGTGTAGCCTGCAGAGGATATCTAAATGATCAGTTATTTAATGGGTTTCATGTATCATGGGAGTTTACTTTGCAATGTGGTGTAAATTGTGCAGAAAATGCACATAAATATATTACGGCTGCAATAAATATTTACCTGTCATTTCCTAGCCTAGGTTCATTATTCTTGTTAAAATGTTTATGACGATCTTGGTGAGTATTTAGAAACATTAGATTGATTAGATTAGTTACTGATTATGAAACAAAAGACTTAGGGTGGCAATTGCCCGATTTTGACATGTTACAATATACGCATGTTAAGGAGGTTCTTGGACTTGACACACAATGTCATAGTGTCATTATAACTTTGTACATCCGGGGTGCCAAACAACCCAGCTGGAAATGAAGTGACATGAACACTACAGTGTTAACACATTCCACATTAATCTATGCTTTTACCCTGTCTTTTGTGTGAGACATTTGATAATGCACGTTACTAGCCATTAAAGGTATGTTTCATTGTATTAACAGAAGGAGATTGATGGGTGAGATGTGCCATCATTTTATACACTGTCAGTAAATGCTTGTGACTGTTTAGCATGCTTCAAGGATAGGTATATCTGTCAGTCAGGGATAGACCCGGCCACTTGTCCGTTAGTCCAAGAATACTGAAAATCTTCTGAAACTTGTTGATTTCTCCTAAAATCGATCTAATTTACATGAAACTACTTGTCCAAATTGAATTGTGGACTAGTTGGATTTGACCAATTGGGTCTACCCCTGACAATGTTGTTATGTAAATATATACAAGAAAATATGGAAGTAGAATAGAAGACTTATCTACCAGACTGAAGCCTGATTCTTGTAAAAACATTTAGACTAATAGGTAAGTTATGCCACTCGAATCTGAAGCTCTGGTTAAGATAAAGTAAGTGTCATGTGATATATTGTTTAACGACAAAAATTATTTAAAACTATATGGTTAAACTACAAGTCACAAATGTTTGCATTTCTTTCTGACAATGAACCCATTCCTTCTGACTTTTATATGTTTGAATAAAGATAAAACTTCAGTCAACTTCAGTGTATGCATGACCAGATCGTTTTATACGTGTATGTAAATACATTTTGTCCAGGGCTATGGTCAAACTATTCCAAATCAGACTTTTTGTACCTATCTCTTGAGACAGTACCCGGGTAGGGTCGGGTAACAGGGGGTTGGTTACCTGGGCCCACTTGCACAAAGCGATCTTAGCGCTAAGATGATCGTAACTCCCATACTTTAGCATAGGCTTACAATAGTCTTAGCGCTAAGATCGCTTTGTGCAAGTGGGCCCTGGGTAGTAAATTTGGACTCATCCCAGGCCCACAGTGAGGGATAATTGATAGTCTAAGATTCATGTCATTAAACTATTAAATGGCCATATGTTAAGGCAGAACAAAAATTAGTATCCATTATTAGAGGTATCACTAATGTGCTGACATTTTTGTGCTAGGTTGTGCATTAACTATTTTGAATATTTTTTGTATATTTGTAATCAATGTCATAGGTTAAGTGCTCTGATTGTATGAATGTATTATATCAGAAGTTTATGAAGCTTCATCACTATCAAATACATATAATCAAATATGCAAGTAGTCCTCTTGAAAATGAATTGCTGTTATCTTGAAAGGTAAAGATTTGTGGTCAACTGAGGATAGATGTTTGTATCTTATGAAGTATTTTGATGTTTTGTCTTCACATGCCATGTGAGATTATGATATTTTATCACATTTTGATTAAAGATTTTGAAAGAAAAATGTTCAGTGTGTTTTCTGTGTGTCTTGCAAGTTTACGCAGTTTAACACCATCTTGGAGTGAGTGAGTGAGTATGGTTTTACGCCGCTTTTAGCAATATTCCAGCAATATGATGGCGGGGGACACCAGATATGGGCTTCACACATTGTAACCATGTCGGGAATCGAACCCGGGTCTTCCACGTGACGAGCGAACGCTTTAACCACTTGGCTACCCGACCGCCCCAACACCATCTTGGAGCCGAGGAAGAGGATGGTGAGTACCCTGAGGAGTTTTTATTTGGTTCGGGAATGTGGGAGTAAAAATGGCATTTTAATATTTTTATATTTACTGCTATGCATGATAATCACAACATACGAGGCATAAAATGACATTGTTCCTTGCCTGATCCAGACAAGCGATTCATGGCCAGTAAACGTTTGCTTGGAACATGTAGCTACCACAACTACCACATGCAACACCTCACCGTTCTGTCAGAGAATGTATTACCGTATTCGACGTAATAAGCGCCCCGCTCTAATAAGCGCCCACGGCGATATTTGCTAATATATTGGCTAGTGAACAATCCCAATTGGCACCCCTTCCGATTGAGCAATGTACACAAGACTTATTTTTTCGCGAATAAGACGCACTCGTGTGTTATATGCATCCTAAATTATGGGCAATTAATACATAAACATTTCAGGCTGTCAGCATAAACCAAGAAATTTATCTCTCAACTCCGTTTTTTTTCTCACCAAAATAATATTCTAATAAGAGCCCCCTATTTCTAATTTTGAGAGCGCCCTGGGCGCTTATTACGTCGAATACGGTAACGGAAAACCAATACATGTACTGTAATATGGATGGTAATTTAGTGTTGTGTTTGTACACTCCAGTAATATTCATACCACATGCACTCTTCAAACTTGGCAGGGGCGGTCGGGTAGCCTGGTGGTTAAAGTGTTCACTCGTCAGTGGAAGACCCAGGTTTGATTCTTGACATGCGTACAAAGCCCATTTCTGGTGTCCCCCGCCTTGATATTGCTGGAATATTGCTAAAAGCGGTGTAAAACCATACTCACTCACTCACTCAAACTTGGCATGGGACGAAGAAATACATGTACATAACTGGTATCAACTAGATATGTAATTACAGTATTGTTGTTGATCATGTGAAACTTCTGCCTATATGAGCAGAGACCATATAGAGGTTATCACGCGAATGTGTTTGGGGATGGTAAATATCCTGCATGAGGAATAAACATTGTAGCGAGCTAAATACATAGTGTTTATTCCTATACAGTATATTTACCATCCCCAAACACACAAGCGTGATGACCTCTTTATCATATAATGCCATTCTTTAATTCTGTGCTTCAAAATCGCTTTCCCTCTCTCACAAACATTAACGAAACATTGCGAGTTTTGCTGCAATGCGCGCATTTATATTTATTACGTCACAGGGTAAGTGATGTGTCAGTCGGAGAGTGACAGTAGCCAATATAGTTCCAACTGAAATCTGTTTCTTATACAGTGGCGAAGGAACATGTATACGCAAAACAACAATTGTTTTTATTTGCCTTTCGCGGCAATCCATCGGTCTGTCCGCGAGAGTAACTGCCCTTTGTAAAAGGGAAGCTACTCTAACCCTAGTCTATGAGACGTCACGGCCACGGTCAGACGTTGTTGACAGTCGGTCTGTCCTGTCATAACGTTTAGAAGATTAGCCAGATGTACACACAGCAACAAAACGAAACAAGGTAATAATTCAAACATATTTCGGACAAATCCAACTATTTTAATTTGTGGAGAAGGTTTCAAGCCGCAGAGGCTTACAAGCATAGATATGGCTACTGATCCCGCTAGGCTAGGTAGGCCTCGTGCCCTCGCAAAACTGTTTCGAAATTTATATCTTCAAAGTTGCCAAAACCTTTAAACGTATAAAATGCCTTAGCTACGTCACAGTTAGACACTGATTTTCAGTATATTAGACTGTTCTTTTGATAATAACAGCAATTATCCCTGTAGTTTATCCAGATTCTCGATGGTTAATTCTGACTCGATCGCCGAATGACGAGGGCGACGCCATGTTTATTTATAAACAGTGAAAGTAGTCCCTACTTGACCTTTGATATCTCTATCCGCATATGAACCCAACGGATATCGTTTTTATCCTTTGGCTTTATCCTGCTGAGAAACCTACCCATTATTTGATAAATACCAATATATGCTTGTGTAAAAAATATCACATGCCCCATAAAAAAATTGCATGGACTTTGCAGACTCATGCATGATAATTACATGTACAGACACCGTGTCATGGTTCTCCATGACCCCACTCCAACATTGCAGTTAATTCAGATTGTAGGTTATCTTTGCGTGTGTTTTCTTCCTCTTGTGTTTATGTATTCCTATTGTCAGTTCTCCATATTCGTCGTCTTCAATGCGTCCTGCTATTGATCAAGCGTTCTCTCACTCGTGACCCGACAGATATTCAATACTTGTTGGTCTGACGAATTCTAGACAATATGGGCGAAACGTTTTTGAGCTAGCAATGCAAAGTAGGAGATGCACTTCATTACTTGCCAAAATATAAAATTTCCAATGTTTTGAATGTTTTAAATTAAAACAAACACTGCTACACATACAGCCAAGTGATAACTTAAACTGCGATACTAACTGGGATACTGGAATATCCCCATGTAGCAAGTGGCTTGTATTCAACGTAAAATTGCTGATGTTTCTAATCTGGTAGAATGCGTGGTAAGCTGTTACACTGACACACGATGATAACCACAATCAACTTCAAAGATGCGTTTTTGTGCTCAAGCCAATCTCCAAACACACAGAATGAGATTCGAACCCGTACGATATTATTGTTGTGTGTGATTATCTCATGCCTAAATACACAGAACAACTTCATTTGGGTAACTATTTTACTAAATATTACAAAAAATCGAATTCCTTTTTTTAAACTATTTCAGTATACCTGGTAATATGTTTTCTAACCACCGGGCAAGGGACAATATACTGTTGACTTACCAAAAACTCTACAGTGTTCCTTTTATTGTAACAAATATGAGTTTTATTGCAACAATTATGAGTAACATTGAATTAAATTAATATAAAAATTAGTTAAATTAATAATTCATTATCTACTTTGATTTAATGAATATTATTAATTATCAGGTTGTAGTGCAGTATGTTTGTTTGGCAGCACTCAGCATTATTCCAGCTATAACAAGACGGCCTGTAAATCATCGAGTCTGAACCAGTGATTGACAATATGAGCAACGTCTCACGCGGTGGGGATGCAATGATATTTAATCACCACTCAAACCATTTAGTCTCCTCTTACCACAAGCATAATTCACTGGGACTTTTGATAGTCTGAATCAACAAGGACATCAGTGAATTAATATGAAGTTACTTGATAAGTAATTACATCCATGTCATTACACTTGAAAAGTTTACTGTTATATGATGGACATTGGCATATCATACACGACGTTGGTCATATACAGTGAAAAAGCCCGATGAGCTCCATAACCTCGAAAAACGATTAAAGAACGGTTTGTATGAGTTGGTGCGAAGGTTGGTGTGTACGGTGGCCCATACCCGCCACTGGTGAGATCATTTTTCACTGTTAGCCTCTATATTTTATCTGGCGGCCGCCAAATACTTTTCTGGCGGCAGCCAGATACTTCCACTGGTGAGATAAAATATAGAGGTTTACAGTGAAAAATGATCTCACCAGTGGCGGGTATGGGCTACCGTAGGTGTGTTTGATGTACCGTCTATACGATATATATAATTTAGGATGGTTGGGGGAGCTATCGCCTAGTCTCCAAACTACGATAACTCAACATATATTCTTCGCTTTGACTTTGAGTTGAGGTTATAATGTTATATACAGTTGAATGTTATACAATGTTTTACAGTTACAATGTTATATACAGTTGAATATCTGAAAACAATAGGTATCGTTTGTCCCAAGTCTTGATAATGGTGGAATGTTTTTCATTTTCTTGGACTCTGCAAGTGGGGCAACCACTTCTTGGTATGTTTAGCACCAGTACTAGTTTCCCTTTGTTTATTTGCCTGATTAGTTCCTGGTAATGATCCAGGAAACCTGGGTCTTGCTTGTATGTCGACATTATCTTGTGAATTTAATTGACATTGTATCATTTCCCGTACAAGCTTCCGTATCTCTGGGTTTTTTCCCTCTCGTATATCTTGGATTGAATTCTCTAAATCCTTGACTCGTTCTGAGACAGAATCCAAGACAGTTTTCAAAAGGTGCATTTCTTTGTCCTTGGAAGCTGAATCCATTTTCATTTTCTCCAGTTTATTTTCAAGTTCTTCTCTCATTCTTCTCTCTACCTCGAGGTCACATTGTAGTTCAACTATCTTTTTATCTTTTTCATCAAGCTCTTGTGAAAGGGAAAGGCAGAGCTGAGGATAAATATGTTAAATATTTATTACAATGCACATATGACATGCCGGAAAATGCAATATATCATGCTTCCCTATTGTGTGTTTTCATTTGGATTTAGGGATAACTAGAAATATACTATACCGATTTATAACAACAATTGACAACAATGAATTAATCAACTAGGAATAGGGAAGTCATCACATGCATTTCTAAGTAATATAAAGAACAGACACATGTTGAATAACACATTGTTGCCCAATTGCTTGGGACACATCCCTGCAATTGTAAACCCTATTCATAAACAAAAGGTCCAACCACTTTGCAATTGTAAACCCTATTTATAAACAACAGGTCCAACCAAGCCCCTTAAAAATAATGAATTCTTCCAATTAGGCGCAAACACTAATCAAAAAAGGGATTTTCAGGTTGACAATCGTGATATATAAGTTGGATTTTATACAAAATATAACAGTAATCATATACATATAAATGAGATTTTGGTTGAACCGATATGGCCGATTCACAGGTAATTTAATAGGGAGCTGGCACAACAAAGATATTCTTGCAAAAAACCGAAATATGCT